TGTTCAAAGAATTTTCCTCTCCTGTCTCTTCAGTGCACTTTTCACCTAACCTCCTCTCTTCCCCACTCTGCTTTCAGCACACACATACACCCTACACCCTTTTTGCTTTATCCTGTTTTGCAAAACAACAAGCAGTAGCCAGGAATGATGGATGGCTCGTGTCGATAATCTTAGCACTTGGAGGCCGAGGCAGGAGAATTACCACAAATTCAAGGCCAGCCTGGACTACAGAGAGAAGACCCTGTTTCAAAAAACTAACATAAGCAGTAGCTCTCACTCTGAGCAATCATTTCCGATGGACACACTTGGAAAAAAGAGAGAGAGAATTCTTGATATTTCAAAACCAAAACAAAACCCCAAACTGAATCCAGCAAGAGAGGCAGGAAGGTGGGATGTCTCTGTAGCTGTAGTTCGCAGCTGACCTGAGCCACATGTAAACAGCAATTTTCTGTACTGGCATTGGTGCTGGGGCTTTTGTAGAGCCAAGGAGGTGTATAGAGAGCTGTGGCGTTTAAATTATAGGTCTAGGTGCAAAACTTTGCAACAGGGACGTGTGAGAGCTCGACTACACCCTGCTCTCGTGTGTTACACACAGGCTAGGGCTTGTGTATACACTCACATGCGTACATGCACATAACTTCTCAGAGGAGCACCCTAAGCCATAAAGAGAGGGGCACCTTGTAATCCTTGTAGTCCCAAGGGGTGCTGGGTTCTTGGAGAGTCCTAGGGTCCCCCTAAGCCTCTCACCAGGGCTTCCAACCTGCCACCAAAACCCCCAAGCAAAGGAAGTTTAATTTCCTGAAGGATTTTGGGCTGAGCTTTCTGGGTAGCTTTTTACAACTCAGTGCTCTGTGGAAGCCAAGTGAGGCCCTCTAAACATTTTTTTGTATGCAGTGGCCAGTGTTCAGGATCCCATGGGTGAAGAATGTACTGATGTTAATCTGCAGGAAGATGACACAGGTGGCTCCTTCACTGGGTGGGAAGGATTTTTCATAACACAAAGGAGGATAGAGCCAGCTGGCCAAGGCATACTTTTTCCTATTCAGTGTTTCCAAGGTCAGAAGAAGGTTAAAGTTTGAAGGGTTGCTGGATAGTTCCTGGGAAACAGAAGCCAAGACTCAAGGATGGGGCTAGTTTCCCTGAATGTACACAGACATGCTCTAATGCACTTGTACGCACATGTGTGCACACTTACTTGTACTTACAAACCTTGCATGGCATTGATGGGTATGTAAAGACCTTTTTAGTTCTACTGGGAGTCTGGGCCTGATGTCCCAGCCCAGCCCCCTACCTGCCCTCCTATGTAACCATAGAGATGGAAGGCAAAGGGAAGGGGGGATGTGTGATTGCAGGTCCTCTGCCTCCTGTGTGTCTCACCAGCATGCAAATCACCCAGCAGTTTACAGTCTGTTTGACAGTAAGGGTGTCAGGATTCCCCAAGTAGATCATTCCACTTCCCGTGTGGCCCTGGTGGGAGAGGTCACCATGCACAGCCCCACTGTTCCTGGCCACACTCCCCTCTCCCTAAGTGGTGACATCATCATGCACCTAACCAAGTACCACACATCTCCCATCTGGCCTTTTCACATCTGGAAGGTTTTGATGAAACCAATTTCTTTTTAGTGTTCGCTGAGGAGTAAGATCCATCCCTTTAAGCCGGATCCTAGAGAGGATGTTTTAGTAACACGGATACTTTGGTGCATTGTCCAGGGCCTGGAATTTCTCATCCTTCCAAAAAAGGAAGGGGTTTAAAAGCGTTTGGGGGAGACTGGGTAGATTTATAGCTGGTTGTCTGTCCTTGTGTTTAGGGCTCTGTCTTGGCATGTTCAGAGCTGCCAGGCAACTGTGGAAGGGGTATGAAGAAATCTTTTCATTTAACCAGTTGCTGGGCACTGGAACATTCTGTTGGCTTCTGTAGTTTGCATGAAGACAGGGTGGTCGGTTCCTTCCCTGGGTTCCCAAGAATGTTTGGAATCCAGGTAAGGCCTCTGCCATGCTTTGCCCACCTCTAAGCAGTGAGACAGCCACAGGGTTCTTTTCATGGGAGGCCACTCCAGAGGTGCTTTAGGTCAAAAAGTCCACTGGAGTCTGTCTGAGATCATGTTAGTATTTACAGATACTTAATTACAGGGCTCAAGAAAAAAAAATTTAAAAAAAAATCTAAAACTATTGGGAGTCTTGCATTATTGGATACCATGTAGAAATACAGGAAAGTGTTTCTGAAATTACCATGGACTAGAAGGGGCAGTAGGATTTTTTTTTTAAGGTTATTTGTATAGCATGTTTTTCTGCTGTACATTTAATTGTGAAGGGTGAATTTAGTAATTGACTTTGGGTTCAGTTATGGTGGCCATTTAGTTGCCATCTTCAAAGTGCTCTGCTAGACTCTTTGACATATGATATTTTGCTTAGGCCTTACAGGAGCTTATATGGTAAGCTAATTACTATATCTCCATTTTATAGTGAATTGAATTCCACGTTCTGTTAGAACATAAGCTGCAGTGCCTGGCATTTAAGGGATCTGTTGTATGAACATGAGGGAAGTTAGGTTAGTAAAAGTCCACCATTAGAGAGTGTAGGGAGGAATTTAAAGCCAAAGAGGGCCGTGTTAGTTAGCCTTGCTCATTGTTATGACAGAATGCCACTTAAGGAAGTAATGGTTTGTTTTGGCTCAAGGTTTCAGAGCTTTAGGTTCAGCTCACATCATAGGGATCCGGAAGCAAGGGACGGGGGAGAAGAAAGAATGTGATTATGAGATGAATGAACGAATGAGCCCATGTTAGCTACTTTTCTCCTTTTTTTTTTTTTAATTGGGCCTCCAGCTTTTGGAGTGGTGCTCCTTACACTCAGAGCGGGTCTTTCCCGCTTAGTTCTACCTGTCAGTACTTGTTGCAAACACCATTGTTGAGGCACCCAGAGATGTGCTTTACTCGTGTCTTACACCCCTCTCAGTCCAATTAAGTTGACAATCCAGATTCACTGTTACAGGGTCTGATGAAGTTTGAGTATCAAGGTGACCTTGTTCTACCACAAGGATCTTACGAGTGGGTAATAAGGAAGGTGTACGGCAGGAGCAAGACGAGGCAGCCCACCAGCTTTGGCAGTGTGGATACTGGCAGCATCTCTTACAGAATGCCCTCACATATTCTTATTTAATCCCCAGTCATCAGAAAAGAGATAAAACCAGTAAATCAGAGCTTCAGATACACAAGCAAACTTCTATATGGTGCTCACTGGCACCAGGAGGAAAGCCATTGGCATTGTCTGGTCACTACAATGAGATAGTGTAGAGAACCCATTACTTGTTCTGGTTGGGGCCATGGTGGCATATGTGCTCCACTAGTAACTAAAGCCTGAGCTACCTGAAGTCTGGGTACCTCTTTCTGTCTCAGCCACCACAATCTAGGATTCATGAGTGTTTGGTGTTGGGTAGTACCTTGTGGAGTAGAGGAGGGAATTCATATCCAAGAGAGTGAGCTGCATCTAGGGTCACATGTACAGTTAGACACTGAGTCTGGATTTCTGGTGTCTTTTCTACTCCTGCAGATCACCAGTGCGCCCTGGTGTCACCCAGCTGATTCGTTGTGGGTGTGTTGGCTCATTCATTTGCTTGCCAGTGTCCTCGAGTCTTGGTGGTAGCAGTATTCCAGGCAGTTGTGGCTCTGTCTTGTCGAACCCTACCTCCAGTTGTAACAGGATAGATGACATTTGTTTTTATTATGTAAATCAAACTACTGACACATGGTACCCACTGGATTGTTTAACTTTTTACTTAATATTTTTCAGTTATCCTATTTACTTCTTTAAAACTTTTGAATCAGGATCTCCCCATGTAGTCCATACATAGCCTCAAACGCTCCTCCTCCTTCACCCTCCTGAGTGCTGAGATCACAGGTGTATACCACAAAACGTGCCCCCCCCCAGTCAACGTGTAGTTCAAATGCAGTCTTTAGCTTGGAGTCCAGTTCCTTAATTGCTTGATCCTTCCAATAAGACTTTCTGGTCCTAGCCCCAAGCATTTTGTGTGATGTACCTTCCTTTTCTTGTTGCTTTGGATCTGGTAGGATTCCAAAGTATGGCCATATTTGCTTCTTCTTGCATCCACTGAATATTCATTGTGGGTTGCAGTGTGCCTAACCTGGTGCTTGGCGTTGACAAGGTTCTGCAAAGTCAGAGCCTAGACACGTGGAGAAGGCAGTGGTTTACATTGGGTTGTGGACTAATGAGTATGTAAGCTACGTATGAATGTGGCATCAGGTGATTCCAGAGGGGGCGAGAATATCAGCCTGCTGGAACAGCAAATGGTATTTTAAAATTTGGAGAAGGTTGTGGGACCTTGGAGAATCCTTACGATTTGCCATGGGAAGATTCAGGAGTGATAAGACAGTCTTAAGAAGAAAAACCTGTGAGAATAGAGGTGTGGAGACTTGGGGATTAGTGGGGCTGGCATAGAGTGTAGGGTGAATCAAGGTGAGGAATGGACAGTCCACAGAGTGGGGAGAGGTTCACTACAGAGCTTATAGGGTGGTCCCTAAGTGCTTCGCTTTAATATTGGGGGTTGACTCAAGGGCCTTGGGCATGCTGGGCAGGAGCCATCTCTTGTCCTTATGTGTGCAACTCTCAGTGATTAGGTTTTTAGCTACTTTCTGAATAGCATTTTTATGTATTTAGTTGTTTTGTTTGCATTGCTTAGATTTAAAATAGACTGATGTAGGATTTTTCTCAATATGCTAATGAAGCCATGTCTTATGGGCACTGAGGTCCTGAGGTCCCTTCTGTCTGCAGGAAGTGCCAGTCTACTCTGGCAGGCTGAATGCCTAAAATGTGCAGAGTGGCTGATTCCAACATCCTTAGCTAGGTAATGATCCATCCTTACAGCTTGCACAGGCTCCCAGTTGCCTTCCTGAAGAAATGTGCAGCAAAGCTTGTTTCTGTGTCTTATCAAGCGCTGCTTCAGATAACCTGGTTAACCTGTGCCCTCCTCTTGTCTTTTCTTACAGATGGTCACAAGAACAAAGAAAATATTTGTAGGCGGATTATCTGCGAACACTGTAGTGGAAGATGTAAAGCAATATTTCGAGCAGTTTGGCAAGGTAGGTGCTGTGCACGTTTAAACGGTACCCACCGGAGGTAGTGGCTAGATCCTTAGACATGGCTGCTGTGGCCTCTGCCACAACCTCTGGGACAGCTGTATCTTCAAGAACTTTGTCCTTGAACTTGCCTGTCATGATTTAAGTGAAATTCTCCAGGCACTCTGATGGAAGAGTCCAGCTTGTGATTGGCATGATGCCCCGGGCGCCTGCAGGAGCAGACAGAGTGGCCTTTCAGTACTGTTTTGCTGTCATTTGCCAGCCGCATGGGGCCAGGACTTGGGAGGGATGCGGGGCTGTGACTCACAGGGCACAGGCGCCCACAGAAGCTGTGAGAGGTAAAGGCCTAAGAGCCAGTGCTAGCCTTCCTTGTTCTGTGTCTTTCTGGAAAATGCATTCAGAGGCTCCCTAGGGCTTTTGTTAGCTGAATGGTACCCTGTCAGTACCCAAGGAGACTCTAGAAAGATGCCGACCATACCTGCCAGCATTCTCTGATCTGAGTGCCCATGAGACAGTAGCACAATGATGCCCTGGGGTGTGCGGCCAGGGCTAGGAGTCCCCAGTCAAGAAATGGGAGGTAAGAAGGTGTACGTGGAACAGACACATGGATGAGATGAACATGTAGGGGTGATGTCTGTCAGCCTCCTTCTAGTTGAGAAGGGGGAAGTAGTAGCTTGGGAAGTGGGTTCTTTCTGAGGGCGCCTGTACCTCAGATGGTCATGTTGCACTGTGTTGGCCTTTGTGTGGTTCCCTTCCTTTACCTCCCACAGAAGCCACAGAGCCAAGGAGGCTGACAGGTTGAGTGGCTGAGCTGGCCCTCTGCTTCCTGCTTCTTTGAGTCATTTGAGTGTTATGGGAGCCCAGGCATGGGACTAGCTCCTTCCATAGGTCTGTGGAAGGCTGACGTGGCAGTGTTCCTTGGTGTCCTGGGAGGACACAGCACCTGTTCTGATCACCATCACTCATTAACTCCCACAGTGTCTTATCATGCTTGCCATGGGCCAGGACAAGGGTGCTACCACCTGTCTGTTGGCCAGAAGGTTCTGTGCTTTTTGTTTGTTCGCCTAGGGCAGTGGACTGGTCTGATTCTATCCCATGTGTGTCTCTTCAAGAGCCACTACCTGAGATGAGGGTCATCGCCTTTATTTAGCTTCAAAATGGAGATTTCTTTTTTTTTCTGTCCCTGGTATTAATCAGTTTCTACATGGATAGAAGACCAGACAACAAGGAGAAACTAGCCTGTCCCAGCTCAGCCATGCATTTGCAATGGCATGGAATTGCCCACCCAGGTGGGTTTTGACAGACGCCTTCCCCACGGGCCTTGCTGGTTTTGTCAGCTGAGGGCTGATTCATTCTGACTGGCTCTCGGGAACAGCTAAGTTTGTTGATGACCACACACGTTATAGTGTTTCTTTCTCTAAGAGCGATTTATAGCACGAGGGGTATTTATCCATCACTCAGCCCCACCCTGCCTAGGGAGAAGGATTGGAAATAATTAAATGAGACAAGTCTATCTTGCATCATTGGAAAGCTCTGGAGGGTGGGCCCTCTTTGCTGTCTTTCTCCCTTCAAATTGAGTTCAGGGGTAGTGTTTGCAAACATGAGGTGGGATTTCTTTTTCGAGCCATAACCTGCCTTGGAATCTCATGGGCCTATTTGCAGGTGTCAGGAAGGTTGAAGCTGCCTAGATGGGCTGTTAGTGTATTCCAGACAGGCTTGTACTTGCTGCAAACAGCATATCTCTGCCTGTCCCCCACCCTTGCTTGCTTGCTTTCTTCTCGGATCTCCCTCTTCCTTCCTTTCTCTCTGTTGTTTCTCTTAGCACTTACCATTGTGACCCAGACTGTCAGCAGTGGGATGCTCCTCAAGCTTTGGCCGTGCCCATGGCAGCTTCCATCACTGCCCCAAGAACAGTTGTCCCTTTGTCTGTGAAGCAGTCACAGACCATCTTCCCTGGCATGGTACTTGCTGGGTCTGATGCTGCCCAGTTAATTGTGCAGTAATGTTTGTGGATTCTGTTAGGATGTGTAAACTTATCAAGTGTTTTATTAAAGGACCAAGGAGGCCTTTGACTGTATCAAAACCCATAACATTCTTTGCTCACATGTTAGCAGTTCACTTCATGCATATGCACTGTGTATTATCTGGGCCCACCTCCCTAAGAGCATCATCTGTCATTCACTAGAGCCTATTGTTCCATCTGTGGCCCCTTGGGCAGGGCTCACCACCTCTCAGGATTCTGGTCTCATTCATTTGAATCTGCAGTGATCAGAGTACCCAGAGTCTGCTGCTAGGCCTTGGGGGCCATGAGTAAATCCAGCAGCTGCAAAAGGAGGTAATGGATAAATTGACAAACGGACTTTACGCCTTGGTAGGTTATATTCTGCTGGAAAGAGATGCTCATGTGTACTTGCATGAAGTGTATTCTCATAGTATGCCCAAACATGAAGTGTATGCCCACAGTATGCTTGGCTATGTGAGAGTATTTGGGACTGTCTTTGAAGCCAACTGAAAATTAGTGAGGTGTAATTTTATTTCTTACAAGGAGTATTTACCAAGTGTCAAATGCTAGGCCAGGCCATTTTCTTACATTATCTCGGTTAATTTTTCTCTGGGAGGCTGATGGTAACATTCTTGAGTTGCAGATTGTTAAATGGGGTATTGGTGGGGTTATGTCTTTGACTCAAGGTCATAGGCTCTTGAGAAGTAGAGCTGGATGTAGGCCTCTTCCCCCCGTATACCAGGCTTGTCTGGTCAGAGAACATGGACTCGGTGCTGTGTCCCAATTGCTCATGAGTCCCTGGGTTAGACTTTAAGGTAGGGAGGCTGCCAAGGAGAGGAAGTATGCGTAGGGCAGTTGCAGCTCCACCTCCTACCTGCACAGACTAGATGGGTATTATCCAGCCTATATGATGGAGGGATAGTAAAGGCCTTGGAAGTTAATTCTTGAGTCAAAGTCACCCAAGAAGGGGAGTAGAAGAGCCAGAATTTAAACCTGTGTCATCTCCCTCCACATCTAGAATTCTCCCTCTCTCTTACAGCCTCTATGCAGGGTGTGCCACTTAGGTCTCCCCTCACCATCACTCACTGTCTTTTCCCTCTTCCCATCCTGCCCTGCCTGAGGTGGCAGCTGCTCGAACTGTTTATTTCAGGTGGCAGTTAAGGTGGGTAAGACTGCTATCAAGGGGCTGAGCTAAGGGAGTTTAAATATGTCATTACTGTAAGTGGAGTGGACACAGAATGACACACAGAGCTTTAAATAACTCAAACCGGAGGCTTAGCAACCCTTTTTGTGCTTTTTCCCACCCTCCTTCCAGAAGACTTACCCCCTCAGGTTAGAAACTTCATTACTTGTTTGTATTAAGATGTGATTACCAAGTGAAATTCTTGGTACAGGACTCAGCTATCCTAAGATGGCTGTCCTTATCCGAGTAGCTGCTTCTGGAGAATGGTAAGGAAGAAGGTATTTCAGGCCTTTATGCGGGGCCTGACCATGGGATGACTTCCCTTGACACCTTGACAGACTGTTTTGTTGCTGGGCCTCAATTTTTCTTCTTGAGGGAAGCCTTTAACATACTATGCTAGTATATATTTTTGCTTTGCAAACTATATGATCTCAATTGTAGCTACTTCAGCTAGTGCAATAACTTTAGCCAACAAGTAAAGAGATGGGTGTGGTTGTGCACCAGTAAAACTTTATGTATTAAAACAAATGGATGGGGTTAGAGAGTTGGCTCGGCAGTTAAGAGCACTGGGTACTCTTGCAGAAGAACCAGGTTCAATTCCCAGTACCCACATGGTGGGTAACAACTGTCCCTAAGTGCAGTTCCAGGGGAATCTGATGTCTACTACTGACCTCCGCAGGCATTGCATGACATGGGTGCACTTGTCTACATGTAGGCAATACACTTATACACATAAAATAAAAATAATAAATAAAAAAAGACAAATGAATGAACCAGATTTGGCCTATGGGCTATTTTGTTGACCCCTGGACTGGCTCATTCCTAAGGCTGATTTTTAAGTCAAGGAAGTCAGTAGTGTAGAGAGTAGATAGATTATAATCCAAGGTATTTGTAGACTAACCAAAAGAATACATTGCCCAGAGTATTGAGTGTGGTATGTAGTAAGCAAAACGTTTTTTACCATGTTAAAGTTTATTTCTGGGCTTTGTGATGCAGGGACAGTGCATCTTGATTTGAGACTGTATTCTTTATTTGGAAAAAGGCACTATTTATATACTAGACTCTGTCCTATGAGTAAGACCCAGAAAAACCATGTAGTTACTTTCATCTTCCCATTCCATGCTCTAGATCTAAATGAACAAAGCTCGTGAAGATCTGATTTTAATCTGAAGATAGCTTTCCTCTGTTCTGTTTCTGATTTACGGTTACATGTGTTTGGTGCTAAGCTTTTTAATGCATTTTAAAACGTACTTTGAAGGATGTCAAGTGAGACGGGCAGCATATCCACTATGTGGGTAATGAGAAAGAAGTTGTCCAAGGTCATCACACAGCCTATCCTGGGTAAAGCCTGGGTGGACACTTACTGTGATGCAAGCTACCCCCAGCCTTTTTGAATGCCATAGAACCCTGCCTCCTACTTTGGCACTAAGCAGCCTTTCAGACACAGAGAGCACATTATTTGTTTTCTATTTTTTTTTTTGTCAGAAACACTGATCTCCAGTAATTTATTTTACTGCCTTGGTTTCTTAGTGGACGTTATCTGTGTTCATGATTTCCTACATACAGGAATGATGTATATAGACCAGTCCAAAAACTGGCAGATGACTGATGTTCTGCTATGCCTGTGCGGAACCACTCAGAAGCGCTCATCTGGGTAACTGAAGTGCACTGGGTCAAAGAAACTCCCATTCACAGGGGTTTCCTTCTTCTCCGGTGGCCCCTCCTTCAAGCTCCCTTTTCTTACATTCTCACTTAGTGAGTTTTGCAGATCAAAGAGGCCATGAAATGGATGAACCTTCTGCCTTGTCTGGGATGGAT